AACGAGCCTTTTTCTTGTACAAAATGCATAATCCAGTTGAATTTTTATGCTTTTTTCCAAGTTATCATAATTGTTACTTAATCTTTTTGATCGATCAATTTGTTTATATTAACTCCAAAGATGAATAACCCGAACAAAAATCCAAATAGAACAAACCGATTAAATTTATGCCCAATTTAGACAATGTAAATTGTAATATGACTAGGTTAAAAAAATTTGGCACCCGAAGTATTTAAATCCTGGATCCACCTCTGATTGGATCTGTCATGTAAACAAGGTTCAACTAATGAGCAACATAATTAAACCAAATTCAACTAATAGTAAGGAAATCATTTTTCAACCAAAACTAATAACTTCTCTTCTATACCTAAACTAGAACAGTTTCAAACAAATAAACAAACAAAAATCCGGTCACTTCCGCAAGACTTGTATACACAGCTAGCCAATGTAATTTAGTACTAAGTACTAACAAACACCAAGATTTTCAATAGAAAAAAAAATGGTTCAAAGAAATTAAACCCTTAAAAAATTGGTATATTTGTAGAGAAGGCACACAACATTATTGAGTAAAATCAAGATTTGCTTAGTGCTCCACTAGCTGCGTACCATGGAGTTGGTAGATAATAATAATAATAATAATAATAATAATAATAATAATAATAATAATAATAATAATAATAATAATAATAATAATTTTATCATTTGTCATATGATTGCACTTTTATGGCATGAACCATACATTCACTTTGTCAATGATCAAACCATGTTAACACTATGGAGGAATCCGTAGACCGCCATGTGTCACCAATACGACTTTGAAGAAGACCTGCCCAAGGTTGAAGTGATTCCAGGAATGATGGAGGTCGCGGTCGAAGAGTCAGCAAGGATCAAGGTCGAGGTCGAGCATCCTAGACAGAGTTATAATGGCTAGTTTCAAGATAGAACACTAAAGACAATATTCTAGTGGACATTCTCTGCACATGTGGGTTTCTAGGAATATGTTCCCTATATATAGAACGAGACATAATGATGGGGACATAGATCACTTCGGAATGGCATATACATCACATATCCTGGATCAAGTAAAAACTCTGGGGTGACAGCTAATGATTTCTACTTTACTAAGCCAGTTCGGTAAGTTAAGGTCCATGCTTGTAACGAATCGAAAGGACCAAGAAGCAGATGTCTATTCAATAAAAGAAGTTATTCGACCTTTGAGATATTTTTTGTGAGAAAACATATTGACTTAGAGAATCTGATCATATTACAAGCATACAAAAACAACCTTTTCACTAAGATTCATGTCTAGCTTTTCCACCCGATCCAAGAACAACCAGAGTGTCTTAATTATGCTCATCAATCATTCTTAATTTTCAGGAAGAATATTCACAGATTTCACCGCTTTTCGGGTGTGTGACGACCCGGCCGGTCGTCTTAAGAATTTACGCCCCGATCCCCCCATTAACTGCATCCCATAAGTTCATTCTGCTATTTTGGTTTGCCGGGACGTTCGGTGTTGAGTTTCGGAGAGTTTTGGGACACTTAGTCCCTAAATGAGAGCTTAAGTGTGGAAAAGTGGTCCGTAGTTAGAGCAGTGTGAAGACGATCTCGAAATAGAAATCCGATGGTCCCGTTAGCTCCGTTAGGTGATTTCGGGGTTGGGAGCGTGTTCGGAATGTATTTTGGAAGTCCGTAGCTCATTTAGGCTTGAAATGCCGAAGGTTGAATTTTTGAAGTTTTCGGTCCGATAGTGAATTTTTTATCAGAGGGCCGGAATGGAATTACGGAAGTTGCTGTAGCTCCGTCGTGTCATTTGGGATGTGTGTGCAAAATTTCAGGTCATTCGAACGTGTTTTGGTTGGGTTTTTTATCGAAAATGTATTTTGATGGAATTTGAAGTTCTTAGGCTCAAATCCTTGAATTTATCGAGTTTCCGGCGTTGTTTTAGGTGGTTTAGGGATTGGTACAAGTTTGAATGAGGTATTAGGTGTTATTGGTGCTTTTGGTTGAGGTCCCGGGGGCCTCGGGATGATTTCGGGTGGTTAACGGAAGAATTTTTGAAGTGTTGCAGCAGCTGGTTTTTCTCTCTTCTGGTATTTTCGCTTCTGCGGCTTGGGAACCGCAGAAGCGGAGCCGCATAAGCGGCCATCCGAACGCAGGAGCGGAAATTAGGCTCCCACAGCTTACCGCAGGTGCGGAAGATTTAACCGCAGATGCGGTTACGCACCTGCGAGACTTCTAACGCAGATGCGGCCCTGGGTCATTTGTGAGAAACCGCAGAAGCGGTAAGTATTTCGCAGAAGCGGCCACCGCAGGTGCGGTTTAAGACCGCAGAAGCGGAACCCCTGGATTTTAGTTAATAGGAGCAGAAGCGGCATTTGTTCCGCATAAGCGGGACCGCAGATGCGGTCCCTTGTCCGCAGAAGCGGAAACACCTGTTCAGAAAAGGGGATTTCGAGGGTTGAGTTTCAAAAGTTGGAAAAATCAATTGAGAGCTCGGGAGAGGGCGATTTTGAGTGGGTTTTGAAGAGAAGATTATTGGGTAACGTTTCCTTAATCTCTTCTAGTTATATTTCATCATTTTGTAGTTAAATTCATCATTAAAAATTCGAATTTGGGACTAAAATTTGAGGAATTTGGTTAAAACTTCTTAGGCCAAACTTTTGGGTTTTGAGTGAGCATTTGACCTCCGATTTGGGAGATTTTTATATGGTTAGACTCGTGAGAGTATGAGGGTTCTGAAAATGTGAAGATTATTTGATTCCGAGGCATTGGCCTGAAGGGCATTTTGGTCATTTCACCTAATTTTACGCTGTAGCTTTGAGTTTAATAGCAAAACCAGGTGTTTGCGATGTTATTTACAATGTGTAATTGAATTGAATGGATTTGAGCCATTTGGAGTCGGTTGGCAAGAGCATGGTTTCTAGTTGATATTGAGTTGGTTCGAGGTAAGTGGCTTGTCTAACCTTGTGTGGGGGACATTCCCCCTTAGGACATGATCATTGAATATTTGAATGCCTCGTACGTGAGGTGACGAGCGCGTACTTGAGCTAATTGTTGTAAACCCGTTTCTACTTGAAGTATTTAAATTGAGTTTTCCTGTTTACTTGTTCATTCTAGACTGTAAGTTTAAACCTGTGCTAGCTTAGAGAAGCATGTTCAGCTGACTTACTTGCTTAATTGTTTAACTGTACTATTGGTACTCTGTGAAGCATGTTAGGCTAGAAATTTCTATTACTTGTATTGATTTTAGCATATATTCTGAGATTATGAGTTGTTGTTGTTGTGTGTTTAATTTGGGACTACGGGACGGCTTCCCGGGAGATCCCCCTGTACTTGATATATTCTGAATTGAGGGTGCGGGATACCAAGAGATCCCTGGCACATGTATTTCTATATATATTGGGATACCAAGATATCACCGGCTTACTTATTGAGGATACCAAGAGATCCTCGGGATACCAAGAGATCCCCAGTCTATATGATGAGGATACCAAGAGATACTCGGGATACCAAGAGATCGCTGGTGCATATGATGAGGATACCAAGAGATCCTCGGGATACCAAGAGATCCCCGGCTATTATTCCTTGTTGAGAGCAGTATACCTTGTATTGCTACCTTTGCTTTCTACTACTGTTCTTCCTTATTTATCTGGTTTAGATTCTCGCTGTAGACTTTATTTAAACTGTTTCCGTTATCTTATCATTTATTTTGTTTTATCTCAGTAGGGCCCTGACCTTCCTCGTCACTACCCAACCGAGGTTAGGCTTGGCACTTACTGAGTACCGCAGTGGTGTACTCATGCCCTTCCTGCGCTTGTTTTTCATGTGCAGATCCAGGTACCTCTTCTCAAGCGCACTATCCTTTAGGCGAGGAGATACACGGAGACTTCGAGGTATATCTGCCGCGTCCGCAGACCAGGAGTCTCTATTCTGTTCCAGCTTTAGTATTTAGTTTATCCCTTGTCTCTCAGTTGTTTAGACATTGTGGAGTTAGAGCAGCGTACTATGTTTCTGTTAGCCTGTGGTTCCCGTGAGTTTTCGGGTTTTGGGATTTAGTTGTAGACTTCCGCATAATTTTGAGTTGTATAGGCCGAGTGGCCTTATATACAGTTGTTATTTCCGTATGTTCAGCTTTAATTAATTATTCCGCAAATGTTAATTTGTTATTCCGTAATATTAGGCTTACCTAGTTGTAGGAACTAGGTGCCATCACGACATGTTCATGGAGGGTGAACTGGGGTCGTGACAGGGTGACTCACATGAATCACATTTACTACTATTTGATGCTATCTTCCATCTTTTTGGATCATTGAATATTGTTGTTTATGCTCACATTCATTGTCATTTAGTCAATATACATATTATCTGTCATAAAACCGATAACCTTATTTTTTGAATATTATTAGCTAAGATTGACTCTTTATTATTTACATCTAATTGGTTGAACCAACATCTATATTTTTGGTTAAACAGGTTGATGGAATATATTTTATATTTTTATGTGTTTGATTGTCTTCTCTAAAATTACTTATTTATACCGCATTATTTCCTTCTTTTAAATGTATGCCTTACCAAATGCAATTACCGACGAATGTGATGATATATCCATTATGTATACTTGTACTAGTTTGTATCTACTGGCCTTACCTTTAGTTGACACTTGTCGTTATGTCATTGGATCTGTCATGTAAACAAGGTTCAACTAATGAGCAACATAATTAAACTAAACTCAACTAATAATAGGGAAATCATTTTCAACCAAAACTAATAACTTCTCTTCTGATATAGGAGGGACATCATAACATCAACAATGACTTGGTTAATTTGGAATGTTAGAGGATTGAATAAGAGGTATAAACAAAAAGAAATAAAGCAGTATCTAAAAGAAAAATACATAAAAATAGTTGGGCTAGTGGAAACTAAAGTCAAGGAGAAGAATGTTGGGGCTATATCAAAAAGGATTGCACCAGATTGGAAGATAAATTGCAACTACAACAATGCTTCCAATGGAAGAATTTGGATCCTGTGGGATGAGAAAGCATACAATGTGCAAGAAATTGAGAATGATGCTCAATTCATACGCTGCTATGTCACAAATACAAAAAAGTACTTTTGCCTGCTATATGACAGTGGTGTATGGATACAATGCAATGGAGCAAAGGAAAGATATGTGGAAGAAGCTGCAGAATTTGGCACCTGGGAAACAACCATGGCTGATTAGTGGAGACTTCAATGCTATGCTAACTCCACAAGACAGAATCTCTAAAGTACCTATGACTTTAGCAGATATTCATGACTTTGCAAAATGGTACCATAATCTATATCTAACTGAAATCCCATGGAGGGGTGAATACTTCACTTGGACAAACAAGCAACAAGGAGATGATAGAGTCAGAAGCAGGCTAGATATAATATTTGGAAATGATTGCTGGATGATGCAACATGGCCATCTTACTGTCAATTTTGAAGATCCCTTTATTTCAGACCATGCATCAATGTTGATCCTTATTACTCAGCCCACCACCAACATCAAAGTACCCTTCAGATATTTCAATGTTTGGGCTGATCACTCTGAATTTCCCCACATAGTAGCTACAGGATGGAATCAAAATCATGTCAGGGGAAGAATGAAGAGTATCTGGTACAAGCTAAAAGAACTTAAACTAAGGTTTAAGCAACTGAATAAAGAGGAGTACAAAGGAGTTAAGAGAGAATTGATCAAGCAAGGAATAAGTTGAAGAGCATACAAGCGCAAATGCACAATCAGTATACTGATTCACTAGGTGACCAAGAAAAGGATTGCTTGCAACAGTTGGAATCTTGGTCCCTAATTGAGGAAAGCATATTGCAGCAAAAAGCCCGAGCTAATTGGATTCAATTGGGAGATTCAAACAACAAATACTTCTCAACAATCATGAAAGAGAAGAGGCAGAAGAAGCAGATCACTGAACTTAAATCACAAATAGGAAGGAACCTCAATGAAGCTGCTGATATCAAAGAGGAACAGATGCAATTCTATAAAGCTCACATCAGCTAAACATCTACCTGGAGTTAATAGAATGGTTATGAAAAAAGGGCCAACCTTGACTCATCAACACAAGTCAGTTGTGTGATGAAGTGACAGATGCAGAGATATACAAAGGCTTATGCTCAATAGGCAATGAGAAGGCTCCTGGAATTGATGGCTACAATGCAGTTTTCTTCAAAAAGGCATGGCCAATCATTAAGGAGGAGGTTTGCAATACAATTAAAGAGTTCTTCCGGAAAGGTATTATATATAAAGCAATTAACTGTACAACCATTACTCTGCTACCCAAAGTACCTAATCAAGAAACAATAAGAGAATACAGACCTATTGCTTGTTGTACAATATTATACAAACTGATTGCTAAGGTGTTAGCCAACAGAATGCAAATAGTGATGCCATGTATTATATCTGAAGCACAAGCAGGATTTATTCCTGGAAGAAGAATCTCTGATAATATCATCTTAGCTCATGAACTGGTGAAAGCTTATAACAGGAAACACATTTCTCCTAGGTGTATGATTAAAGTGGACATGATGAAAGCATATGACTCAGTTGAATGGGTATATATTGAACAGCTGATGGAGACCTTGCAGTTCCCAACTAAGTTCATAAAATGGATCATGGCCTGTGTGTCTTCTGTTAGCTACTCTATATTGTTCAATGGTGAAGCAATGGAACCATTCCCAGCAGCAAAAGGCCTAAGACAAGGGGATCCAATATCACCTTACCTATTTGCTATAGCCATGGAGTATCTGAGTAGGCTGTTGGGTTATCTCAAGCAGAACAAAAAGTTCAAATATCACCCTAGATGTGGGAAGCTGGGCATAACTCATCTTAGCTTTGCAGATGACTTGTTGCTATTTGCAAGGGGTGACTTAGACTCTGTACAATAATTGCAAGAATGTTTTCTATCTTTTTCTGGTGCTTCAGGGTTACAGGCAAATACCTCTAAGAGTGCAATTTATTTTGGGGATGTTACACCAAATAATCAGACAGCCTTGCTACAAAGAACAGGGTATACTCAAGGGGAGATGCCTTTCAGATACCTGGGGATTCCTTTGGACACAAAGAAGCTTACATTTGCACAATGGTTACCTCTCATAGACAAGATCACAGCAAAAATATCATCCTGAACAGCTAAGAAATTGTCATATGCTGGAAGAGTTCAATTGGTGTAATCAGTATTATTTGACATGCAAGCATATTGGGCCCAAATGTTCATATTACCTGTCAAGGTAGTTAAATTGATTGAGGCATACTACAGAAGTAGGTGTGGTCAGGAGGGAATATCATCACAAAAATAGGCATTGTTGGCCTGGGAAAGAGTATGTCTACCTAAAGCAGCTGGAGGCTACAACATCACCGATATACAAGTGTGGAATAAAGCAGCAATAGCAAAGACATTCTGGGATATTGCACATAAGGCAGATAAAATGTGGATAAAATGGATTCATCTTTACTATATCAAAGGTCAAAACATCTTTGAAATGGGCATACCAAACCAGGCAAGCTGGACGGTAAAGAAGATATTGGGGGCAGGGGATGATATCAAGCAAATGCAAGGGCCTACTGTACAGAAGAAAACTATTATCAGATACATCTACAATCAACTGCTAGGGGATCATCCTAAAGTTGAATGGAGGAGGCTGATATATCAGAGCCAGACCCAAAGCTACCTTCACTTTATGGTTGCATTGTCATGGGAAGCTTGCTACTACAGACAGACTTCGCAAATGGGGTATCAATGTGCAATCACTTTGTGTGATGTGTCAAGTCTCAGATGAAAGCAGGGATCACCTCTTTGGGGAATGCAGTTTTCAAGAGGATTGTGGAGCAGACTACTACAGTGGTTGCAAATGCAAAGTTCAATAGGACAGACATGGACTGCTCTCTTCACGTGGATGATGCAAAAGGCTAAAGGGAGAACAACTACAGCAAAGATTATCAAAATGACATATGCAGAGTTCCTACATGCAATATGGAAGGAAAGAAACAACAAAATTTTCAAAGGAGAAACTAGAGATCTAGAGAGCATAGCTAGAGAGATAGCATGTGTATGTACCATTAGAGGCACAAATGATATAAGGAACCAGCTACAGAAGTTGAGCTTTTATGTAATCCATAGCCTAGCTGTACATATATAGAATTAGACTGCTGGATAGAAGAACCAATAGGAGGTAGGAGATAGATTGTTTTGTTTACTCAGAGAAGCTAGTTGTGCATAGCTATGCTTCTTTTGTAATGATTTCACCGGTGGTTAATATAATATTTTTTAATTACCAAAAAAAAAATCTCTTTTATACCTAAACTAGAACAGTTTCAAACAAACAAACAAAAAATACGGTCACTTCCGCAAGACTCGAATACACAGCTAGCCAATGTACATTAGTACTAAGTACTAACAAACACTAAGATTTTCAATAGAAATACCAAAAAAAAAAATGGTTCAAAGAAATTAAACCCTTAAAAAATTGGTATATTTGTAGAAGGCACACAGCATTATTGAGTAAAATCAAGATTTGCTTAGTGCTCCACTAGCTGCATATCATGGAGTTGGTAGTAGATAATAATAATAATAACAATAATAATAATAATAATAATAATAATAATAATAATAATAATAATAAGTTTATCATTTGTCATATGATTGCACTTTTATGGCATGAACCATACATTCACTTTGTCAATATGAGAAGAGCTGACAAAAAAAAGAGTAACTTATTACAATAT